GTCAAATTATCATCAAAAACCCAACCGATAATCAATTTGTCTGTCAACACTTTGTATGCTCTACAAATAATAATAATGTCAGCCAACTCTTCAAATGTACTGGTTGCAACCTTTTCTCTGCCAACATGCGTTTTGGCACTTGTACATTCACAATTCCCATTAATAGAGTCTTTAAAGTTGATTTATTTCAAAAGAAATCTCATACCCTTAAAAATCAATTACAACAGTCACTTGCTGAAATCTCAAGGGTAGCTTATCTCTCTTACTTCACCTCCTATTTTGAGTAACAACCTCTTAATCCACCATCAAATAACTTAATTAACACATTATTTCTCCCTTCCTCAACATTAACTGAGCTTAAATCCTTACGAATGACACTCGCTGACAATACATCCCTGACATTTTACACTGATGGTTCTTTAGTTTCTTCAAAAACAGAATCATGCAAAATGGGACTAGGTTGGATTTATATTGATTCATCTAATAATCATCACACATTTAAAGCTTCGCTGACGAACTGGCCTTCATCAACACATGCTGAAATATTCGCCCTCCTTACTGCTCTTTTAATAACATCACAATCGTTTTTTGTCAACATTTTTTCAGACAGTCAAGCTACAATCCAAGGATTCTCCAAATATGTTTTAAACAATGACCTTTCTTTCAGAAAATTTGAGAAGATACCCAACCACTCTATTTGACATCTTATTAAACATACAGTGAACACAATGAAGCTTAATATACAATTTTATAAAGTCAAAACACATACCAGCGATCACTTTAATGATATTGCAGACCAACTAGCCAAAGCTAGATGTAACACATATCCCATTACTCCAGTATTGAACAATATTCCCTCATCTGAACTTGTTTTTACTTTTGATAACGTACTAATTGAAATATCTATTCGAAGTTTCTTCAAACAACTCTTTTCTGCTAAGACTTTCTGCAACTTTCTTGATCTAAATAGAAACAGTCACATCAGACGTCTCACCAGAAACCACTCTATCAGCTGGCCTGCTATTTGGTTGTTATTCGCCCTAGATTCATCCTCACTCACTACTTCATTTGCTTCATGTAAACTCAAGACCTTCATCATAAAAAACTTTGTTGATGAACTACCAACCCTTTTAAGATTATCTATACTACAGCCTGATTTGTATGAACACTGGTGTTGTGTTGGCTGTGGACTAGATACAGAAACTTCTGAACACCTCTGGATCTATCCTGCCTATACTACAAGATTACAAAACGTGATTCAAACTACCAAAGATGAGTTAATAGGTCACCTCACAGAATTAAATATCTCCAAACTTACTGAATTCCTTTCAAAATTATTAGATATTCTAAATGACATCCTTGCCACTCCCTCATCTAGAACAGATAGTTACATCAATATTGTTCATTCTCTCATT